ATATATATATAGTTAAGTCAAAACATACAGAGGATGAGTAAAGCTCCTTGGTGTGTATTAGAGGACCAAATATAAAATAATTTGTTTGTGAATGTGGTCCATTAAAATTCTTCTTCTTTTTGTCGTTGTACAAGTTTAATCAGTGTCAAGATTTAGATTCAACTCCTAATGTTGGTTATGTTGTTTCTTTGGCTGATCTCTTTTATGTGTGTATTTTACACTGACTTGTATATATTGAGCCGTCAGCATCCAGATGTCTTGTTAATTGTACACAAACCCTTGTTTTAGCCATGAGGTTCAGCTTTTTAAGCAGCCCTTTGTTGACCTATTTGCCTGCCTGCTGTTGCCGGTGCAGGACACCAAGATCTCTTCCCTGGAAAGAAACATCAGAGACTTAGAAGATGAGGTCCAGATGCTAAAAACCAGCGGCCTGTTGCACCCAGACGAGAGGCAGGAGGAGCTCAAGCAGGTGGAAGTCTACAAGAGCCATTCTAAGTTCATGAAAACTAAGGTAGACTTTCTCTGCATGCAACTAAACTGACATCAAGCTGCATGATCTGACTGATGCATGTGAAATAGCAAGTGCACAAGAACCTGTCATTGAGGATGTTATTTATTTCCATTGCATGCTAATGGAAATGGCATTTCACTACTCTTCTATCTGTGCTGGTAGCTGGCCTGTTTGAGCAGCTGCAGGAGCTATCAGCTTTCACTACACCATCTTGGCTTATTGTTTAAATCGTTGCCTGACTGAAAGATTTTTGGAAAAGCCTGACCAAGACTTCTCTTCCAAGGCTGTTTTTTAAAAATATGCTCAAGATGTACAAATTGACTTACACATGTTTAAATGTTTGGGTGGCTCAGGAGGTAGGACAGGCCAAATGGGAAGATTTTGAACTTCGCTTGTCATCAGTGTATGTGCAACGAGCAAAACAAAAAATACTGTACATGTTGCATAAAAAAACATTGCTGAATGTGGGTTTGAATCAACAACTGCGACGTACAGCATAAAACGTTCCATTTGTTAGCGTAGTCCATTTAACATATGGTTGAAATCCATGTTTAGAATTAAGTTTCAGGTTCCACAGAGTTTTGGACCATATGTCTAGAGATGACTGAAGCCAAGGAAAGTTCTACATGTTTTCACATGGACTCATTAAAGGGTGCTCTTTGTAGGAGCCATTTGTCATTGCATCAGGGAAGTTCCAGATGCAATCATAAAAGAGATGTTTTTTTTATGAATGGAGCTCTGACAGACGAATGTGAGCCTACGACCGCAGAGAAACAGAAAGAAGCTCTCTCTTCTCACTCACGATATACATCACAGCGATGGCCCTGACTCGCTCTCGCATGTCTCGTCTTTCTGCGTACAGTTGCACAGAAACAGAAAGTCGCTGCACATACGCACAGATTCATCCTATATCCTTGAAGTGTTTGGGGTCGTGGTCTTTCAGCTGTGATGGTGACTGGTGTTGAAGTGYGACTGTCATTAGAGAAACCGGAGAGGGCAGCATCTCTGTCCTCTCTGGTTTCCTCTCTGAACTTTGATCTACTCAAACAGTAGAAAATGGCTTCTGAACGTGTTGTGGTAGAAGAGCATTAGAAACGGTAATGGTATTCATTGATAATTTGGGAATACAGCGTGTAAAAGAATATGGCTGTACATGGAGGCAATGCTTTAGTTTAGTGGCTTGCTGTTCTTCTTGTCTCTGTGTCTCTATAGGAGCAGGCATTGTCACCATGTGTATCTTCCATCAGACCAGCTCCCACCTTCCTCCCCTCCACCCAACAACCTTGGATCACAGAACAAGCAGAAGTACCCATCTCATTAGTCTGTCTGCTCTCTTATTTATCATCACCCTGTAATGTTTAAAGCCTTTGTTCCCCCTTTTTATTGTAATGTTTGCTAAAAACACGTTAAGGTCACTGCTTATTTCAGTCCTGACTCATTTATTTCCCCTCTGTTCTCTCACTCATCTCCCTTTTTTTAATCATCTTTTCACTCTGTCTCAAAATGCTGCCTGCTGTCTCCTAGTTTTTATCCTTTCTACTTTTTTTCACATTGTGACTTGTTTTTTTTTGGTCATGCTCTGATCCATTTAGAGTTTCCTCTTTTATGAGGTCAGGCCTGCTCATTCAATTTGAAAAATATCTCTTCAAATCAACTTTGTGCATTTTTGGCCCCAGCAGACACATTCCAATCTTCTCTACATACCTTTCTGGAGTGCCGAGCCTTCCCACTGTTAGTGCGTTTGATTTCCTGTGTGGTTTTCTGTTATGCTCTCCATGGTTTAACTTAAAACAATCAGTCTGTCTCCCCACATGATTTTCTACTTTTTTGTCTGTTTAGTTTGGTGTGTCCAGACAATTGACCTGAGATTTCAAGTGAGGACTGATGTTACRTGGCTGGGTGATGATTCAGTGCTACAGTGTTTAACCTTTCTAGTTAAATGCACGACCACAGAAATGACATATTTAGGTTGTAATAACTGAATGATAAAATATGCCAAAATTCTCAACGTCAGACACATGGAAGATCTTTTTTCCTCAAAAAAATATTTTTACCAAGAGTATAAGACAAACTGCAAAATGGTGATGGAAATCCTTATTAGATATGGCACTCTTGTTTTTTTAAGTTTAAGTGTTTAATAAAACACTACTTTTAAAGAAGACATGCGTGACTGACAGGTTTTTCATAGAGAAACTGTCTTTGTGTGTGATTTATCAGATAGAGCAGCTGAAGCAGGAGCTGAACAAGAAGGAGTCGGAGATGCAGGCCCAGCAGACCAAACTAGATACACTGACCAATCAGAACTCTGACTGCAAGCAGCACATAGAGGTGCTGAAAGAGTCCCTCAGTGCCAAGGATCAACGGGCCAATACTCTGCAGACAGAGGTAAGAAAGTGCACACTCATACGCACTGTTGCACTGTAGGAATGCTGGGAAAAAAAATCTAATATATAAAAATAGTTCTAACCGTTTGTGACAAGTGCAGCTGAAAGTGGAGAAATGTTATTTATGGGAGAAGAAAGGTTTAACACAGCTGCGTATTTTTAATCTATAGATGATGTTTCAGTGCTTTTGTTTTCTGATAGAGGGGAATTTTTGCATGTGAGCACGATTGTGTCTTTTTTTTGTCTTGGCTTCTCATTCTTTCTGCTTCTCTAATGGGCATTGAGGTGGGTGGAAAACTTTCTATGTGTGTGGCTGTTAGTCCACCAGCAGCTTCGTACGTGTGGGTGGGTCAGTCAACAGGCTGAAAAACGCTGGCAGCTTGTTTTTATGTTTGAAGGTTTTTTTAAGCTCTAATGATTTTATCACTGATCTTAGGGTATGAAAGTGGTTCAAGTGTGCATGCAGTATATGTATATTGTGTGTGTGAGAGAGCATTTAGCATTTTTCTCCATCATTCCTTCGACTTGGAACTGATACTTTAGATGTCTGTGTTTGGCAGATGAGAGTGACCTGTTAAGTATGTCCACTCATCATTACAGGAAGCAATTTGAGCCAAAATTAGGCCTAATTGTCCTTACATGTGCAAAGAATTTTGGCTCTTGCTGTTAGCCGCATACATCATACTTAAAGGAATTGCTTTTCACTGGGTGGTTTTGTGTGTGTCCATGTTTGCTCAGCCCAACAGCAAGTGAATGTGTGTTTTCGGTCATCATGGCAAAATATGTTTGTGGGGACATCTGTGTTATCAGAGCTATTATAAAAGTAATTTGAGTGTTTTAGGAAACATTATTTGTGTCATTATGTCCGTGAATAGATTGAGTTGATCAACCCTACAAGATACAGTCAAAAATCTTTACAGCTATGTAGATGCGATTAAAATAAAGGCCAGGTTTGAAAATGTTTGCAGTCCTGATCCTGATTACTTTATAAAAGCTGGTGAAATAGTTTTTATGTGCTTCATTTACTGAAAATATATGCATTTGTTCTTAGTCTCACCAGGTGCTCAATTTCCGTTACCTAATCAAATGTATTTGGTGCCATAACCATGGAAACATTAGAAAGGTAGAACAAAGCATTAGGGACAGAAATTATTCAATTAATTTCATAATGAGCAGTAAAAAAGGCGCATTTCTCAAAGAAATAAAACATAGGTTTTTCATGTGAAAATGAATGTCATAGAGCAAATGTGTCAAACTCAAGGTCTGCAGGCCAAATCTGGCCCCTCGTTGACAATTTATCCAGCCCCAAATGTAATACTTAAAATGTAAAATACTGTTATAGTTTCTTTCTTCTCAGCTGGCCAACTCTCAAGCCAAAACAAAAGTTTGAAATTTTCTGTCATCTTTGATTTAGGTGTGGAAAAAAGCAACAGAGATTACACTTTAATTATATATTTCTGTATTCTCTTCTTATTTTAAAGGCAATTAAAAATAATTTTATTAAGATTTTCCTATCTTTTTTTCTGATTTGCTGGATTTTGATAAAATGCATTTTTTAAATATAATACATGAAAGGATAGTGTATAGGGCATTAGAAATGTCTTCTCAAGGGCTCGACACACGGGGAGCRACAAACTACAGCGATTAACGGCTGCCATCGCAGCCAGGGTGAAACCTGACACACGGGACGCGATAGCGATTGCAGCGTTGTGAATTGCGCTCTCAGGTCGCTTGTCTTCAYGAAATTTGATTGGTTCTTCTACTGCCTCTTGTAAAGGTTATTRATGGTTCACAAAAAAAGGGGGTGTGCATTACGGATGTGTAAACTAAACAAATCTTGCGATGCTAATGATACTGAAAAACAAACACACACCAAAATACAATTTTATGAGGAAAAACTTACTGGATAACTTCACCCTGGCGCCAACAAATTCCCACAAAGCTGCCTTTTTTAGTACCAGTAATCACTTGGTGAAAGTGTTAACTAACTGCAGTGTGTAGCATACTCTCCGCTCATTGGTCAGTCAATGAAACCCTCGCTGATTGGTTGTACGCTAAGCAACAGCGGCAAAAGTTGAGCATTTTTCAACTTTCATATGTTGCATCGCAAGCTCGCGTGTGCACGTCTACATGTACGAGCGCAAAATTTCACATG